CGAGTAGGGTTCCACACTAACTTACAAGCACTCGCACTGGGAAGTCCCAGTCATCGCGGCCACACTCAGGGAAGACTTCCTGCCAATAGGGCCGAAATCTTTGACAACCTTCTCCAATATCAATGATCTGTCCGATCCGTTATCCAGTAACGCATAAACCTGTGTGCTCCCTCTTGAACCCGTCAGTCTCACTGGAACGATTCTTAAGTTTGCCTCAGGAGATCTTATTTCCTTTGTCAAGTGGGTTATTGATGCAGTTGCTTTGGCTTCATCGTCTGTCACGTGCGACAAAGAGTTATGGTTTGCTTTGCAATCCTTAAACTTACAGTTAAGTCCGGAATAGCAAAACTTAGCTACGTGACCTCTCTTTAAACAATTGTGGCAGATAACAAGTTGTTTGACTGCTGGTCTTTGGGCAGTCGACATTTTCAATAGCTTCGGAGTTATGACCTAAGATGCAACTTGCAGTATGTGTGGTTATATCACATGTCGAATGATTAGTACCTCAATCAAATGGCATTGCGACCTACTGCTGAGTTGTGAGTCAGAACTCTTTGCCTGATCACTTTCCAAGTTGTGTCTCATCAACAAGCCGTACCTCAACCGAGTTACTCTAGATCTCTCCTCAACAAAGCAAACTAAGTCCTCAAATGCAGGTTCCCTCACAGTGGTCAAAATCCTATCTGCTACGTCAACCCGTCTATAGGTAACCGACTGATAATAGCCTCCAAGTTGACTGGTGAATTCAAGTCCGCAACATAGCCGGTCTGGAACGTTATTTGTGAGTTTCTAAGCTTCACAGAGAACTCATTCATGGCCCTGAGAGCATTCTCCACCGACCACCTATTTCTAACCAAGCCATCAATAAGCGATCGAGATATCATATGGTCCTGTCCAAACAAATCACGTAGAATTTCTCTAGCCCTATCATATCCGAGGTCAAAAGACAGCGAAATACATGCTTCTATGACTGTCCTTGCCTTCCCTTCGCAAAAGTGTAAGAGATAATACAACATCTAGCCTTTGCCAGTAATTTTAGTCCCTATCGTATTTCAAAACTGACTCATGCAAAGCTTTTTAACTAGGCTGTCCATCAAAGTACATCAGCTCTATCCTTGGTAAAGAGTTGTTTATCATCGAAACCAAACAACTTCCCAAATTCCATGCAACGTTATACTGTATATCACTGGGTTCAGATAACCCAACAGTATTCTTCGCTGTAGAATGACTGCCAGCCCTTGATCCTAATTACCTTTCTAGCCTTTTCTCTTCTAACAGAGGTTCAGGTGTCTGGTTATTAATTGAAATTAGGCTTAATACACGAACCATGCATACCAACACCATCTTCACTCACTTTATCATCCTTATCGTCACACAAATTATTGGAAAGTTCTAAATTGTTATCCACAGGTGAGGTGTTCCCCTAACGTACAGATCCAGTACTATGGCCTCGTTTAGCAACCCGATTTCTGTGGTCAGAAGATACATTGGAAGGAGCAGAATATCCCAAATATTCAGCTTGTTTCCAAAAAGTAGTGAAAAATTATCGACAAAAGCAGCAGAGCCAAACTGAAGAACTTCCGTTGCGTCGAACCCACTGAGTAGCACATAACAAAGATACAAATTTCCAAAGTTCCCAAACCCAACGCAAAGCCGAAGAAAAAATCCAAACAACGAATGCATATTCAAACAGTAAGTGAACCCTGTGAAAATTGTTCTTTACAACAAAATATATGCAAGAAGCTTAGTTACAAACCTTCAATTTTGACGGATACTGCAGTTTCTATTCTCAAAGAAATACAACGTTGACGATGATCAAAAGAAGGGGTTCAATATGGTTGTACAAGCAAATTAAATGGAGCCAGACAAAATAAGTGGTCAAAGTTTTTGACCAAATAAAATAGTATTTGCTACCTTGGTCTAAGGTACTCCAGTGACCTTTCCTTCGCAGAACACGCAACGGCACAGTGCTCCAAATCACGCCATCCCATCGGCTTCATTCACCGGAATTTTCGCCTGAATGAAACCAAACTGATTCCACATAAGGTAAGATATGTGTGCGACCACTACCAAAATACTGTCCTATCGTACTTAGTTGCTTGTGGTCCAGTGACAATCAGAAAATAGAGAAAACTCAACGACACTTTACCGGACTCATTTCACCCGGTAATTCATACAGAGGCAGATGTCATGCCAATCGATTAGAGCCTATGTGGTTAAGACGAATAAAGTCTAACCTCAGCATTTTCTATAAAGTCCTACACCATGAAGTGACTACCGATGTGGACACAGTAGTTCGCTGACAAAAGCCCTACAAACTTAGAGACCAAGACTGCCTATTCACACCACCACACGCGTCCAAACAGCTCAATTCTTCATTTTTCACAACTCGTTACGCTAACATTTGGAACAAACTGCGGCATGATGTCCGATGCTGCAAGACCATATCCCAGTTTCAGTCAACCTTGAACTACTACCTCAATGAACTTGGAGTATGCAGGATTCTTAATGCACCCTACATAGACGACACCATGTTCCTTATTGGCTCACCAAATATCTAGAGTCCAATAAGCAATAATCTAATGCAACCACCCAAGAATTTATCAAACGGTGAGTAATTTTTCTTGAATTACATATTATTCCATGCGAACTTGTAATAATTGTGTTTGATGCTAGTTACTGTTCCTAACCTCAATGCTGCCATGGTTCAGCAACTCTTAACCCCTCCTATAAATAAACATTCCGCTCACCATTCCCTTTTCTCTTTGTAATAAGCTAGAAGTCTTTGTGCTGTACAGTGGTACAAGTCAGTTTTGCGTGGTAAATCAAGCTTGACTATGGCATGAGTGAAGGCATAATGGTCATAGGTGTCGCCTGATGTATGTTACATACCAAGGGACGATTGAGTCAGCAATGAATGCAGTCTTAGTCAGCTGACAGTAAGTTGAAGATATCCTCGCACCATCAACTCTACTGAGCGTAGCACAAAAATATTTTTAAAAGATTAACGTGCAAGTATGCGGGGATGGAGATAACTGACCAACAGACGTGATGGTAGGGAGGTAAACTTGAACTACCCTTGCCTGTATGGCGGTATCTTTATGAAACCCAAGGCTCTTGTACTTATGACGACAAAATAATAGCAGAAAGAACGAGATTGCCAAAGAAAGAAAAAAGTCCTCCACGTCTACTAGCTCAGCTCATTCTGCACCACCATACTGTCACTATAGACCTGATACGGTAACACTCAACAGGCAACACCATAATAATCCCTCCGCCATGACTATTTAAAGCCTGGTTACCATTACGGCAAAAAGTATGTTTTATCCAAATGTTTATAATTTCATCAAACTTTTGTACACAGGTTTTCTACACATAAGCGAATACCTGGTCCAAAATCTTATATTCTCTTATCCCATAGTGATATCTTCGGCTTCAGTTTTGTTTCCACTACCTTCGTATGCACCTTCATCTTCTTTCCCGTAAGCTTACCTCTAAACAGAAAGTTCTGGATACTTCTTCAAGTAACGTTTGTAGTCAGTACAATGAACTCACCTTCGCGTATCATGGTCGATTTACTTCTGCGTAGTATTTCTGTGCTCCTGTTTCAAATTTCGCCTGCCGCTCGCATGTGCTATTCATTTTTCAGGTTCACCCAACCAGTTCTTCCTCCGTATGAAATCCTAGTAGTCGCATTTGTCAGCCTGCCCATTGCCATCAAAATTTTATGACGAACATAGTCTGTTGACGTATATCTTATTGTCCGCGATAAACGGTGTCTATTGTATAGCTTGTCAGTACATCTAACACTCAGTTCACATTACCAATATGATCAGACCTGTAAACTGGTTTTCAAGCAACTTCTGTTGCATTATATATATGATTATGATTAGTAGTGATATTATATTGGGGTTGTGTCACGCTTCTGGGGTTAGTGTGAGTGGAAGACATGTTGTCCTGTGGTATATTGTCAGCTATTCTCTTTGGAGATAATGCATGGTTTGCGAGTATACCCGAAAAAATGAGTTGTCAAACGACGAATTATTAATTATCCTAGCAAAAGTGGATCTGTCTGTAATTCCCGGTGTCACATTAGTGTCTTGATTGGTGTTGTGGCAATCCCGCATAGTATCATCGTTTCCATGTCTTCGTCTCCATTTATTAGCCTGACTATCTGTGATGGACCATAAACGGGCTAGTTTACTAAGAACGGCTGATTATCGAGGCACGGGTTACAAAATGATTGGGAACATTATGGTAATCGATGTAGATTGTTAAAAGGATGGGATACTGTAGGTCCACCCAGGAATGGCACAGAGTGTGTATGGGGAGCCGGTCCCTACAAAATAGTTTAGGACTTCGAACATTCGCCTAGAGTAAGCATTTCGGGGGGTTGGTGACCACCGAGATGTTTGCCAGATAGGTTTGCTGTGGACAACTCAAGAAGACAGTTAGGTGTTTGGCGTGACATTTCCACTTCTCCGTATGGTTGGAAACCGAACATTTTTGGATCGATCTGGCGGGAAATTTTTCCTGGGCTTTTGCTCAGAAACCCAAATGTGTCGCCAATGGCATTTTGATGAGACGCTTGTGCTAAATGTGTCCACCTTTTAAGGCAATCTGTTACAGTGCTAATTGTGTGTTTATTTCAGGCGATGGGTTGCGGGTGTTTTAAGAATTGACCAAGTCTGACGAACAACCAGCAGAGATAACGGACTTCGATCTTGCAGCTAAATTTTGTCTGGCGCTTTGGGGTCCAATATCCAATATCCAATATTGATAGTGCGAGCGTAGAAAACTAGTAGTTTTTGATCTCTCGCGTCTAGTTCTTAGGGCTTGGTTCCAGTTGTTCGGTTTACTCCTGCAGTGGACGAGGAAATCCCCTCTGCTTTCTTGCTTTTAGCTTCGGTGAGGTGGATGTTTTGTGGGTTAGTAGGTTGTAATTTGTAGAGTGATTAGGGAGCTACGGGTTGCTGGGAAGTTTAGAGAACTGCCATGACTCCTGTCTGTGTAGGTACCTGGAAGAGAATAGTAAGGTAGTGGTAAAGGAATGAAGAGAGAATAAAGAAGAGAGTGAAGTAGCACCATAGAGACTCTGGGAGCTGGGTTAAGGCCGTATCGCTAACCATCCTTGCCTTTAAACAGGAGTTTGCGTAGATAGCCACTCCCCCTCCTGCTCTATGTTCCCTGTCCCTGCGGAAGAGTTCCATGCCAGCAACACGCATCTCTTCGTCGGAGATGTCCGATGAGAGCCAGGATTCGGTGATGAATATGATGTCGGAGTGCTGATGTTCACGCAGCGTCCTCATTTTTGCTACCTTCCCTATTAGCCCCCTAACGTTGCTGTACATACATATTAGAGTGTACCTGATGAGGGGGGAGGTCTGGATGTGTATTTTCGCGGGATGAGCGCTTACGTGGTTGAATTTAGCCTCGCCAGTCCTCATAGGACTGGCATTGTTCCGTTTTTTTGTGTTTTGTTCTTAACTTGGGTGGGGGCTGTAGCAGTGGTGGCTTCTTTACTTGATGTATCTAACTCACTGGTCAGCGCCTGTGTGACGACCACTGACTCCAGAGGTCTTGGTGGTTGCCGTCTCTCCTCTTGCCTTGTGGGTCTAGGCTTACTTTCACATATACGTATTGAGCCACCCATGCGATCTTTCGCATTATACCATGCGTGCAGAACGTCTGTGAGGGAGGCATATGAGTCGAACTGGACGGCAAGTAGTCTGGGATTGGGTATGGTCTTCAGGTGCGCTGGCCTTGGCAGTCTACTGACGCTGTTGGCCGGTATACTGTTGAGACCAACTTTGGTTGAGAGCCATTGCCATTGTTGGACGTCGTGAAAGTACCGATCTTTGACCGAGCTGTCACTTGGCAATTCTGGAATCCCATGTACAACTATAGTGTTGTTTCTGTTGGGATTTCCAACCGCTGACTTTCTCTCCTCCTCTCTTACTGACCATGGCTTGTCAGGCCTGGCCCGAATTTTACAGGCATTAACAACGTCCGGTTGTCGTGAGAGGAGGAGTGTGTCTTCAGCCTCTTTGGCGGTATTTAGGGACACACGTAAAGGGGGGGCTTATCTCGGGGTGCATGGCTTCCTCGAGAAAGGCGACACAAAGTTGCAGGGAGGGGAGGGAGTCCCAGCATCTGACAGTAGTCGGTCCACATTCGGCTGTCAAATTGTTCCCTCTCGACCAACAATGAGTCTGTCGATACATCGACGTTGAACAAAATGATCGAGTTGGTCCTCCTGTGACCTGGGTTCGTTGTGGGTGGCACGCCCGACTTACCAATGGGTTTGAGTAATTCCACTGGTTGTTTCTCAGTCACGGTGTGTGGGGTGTTCGGAATGGGTTTCGTAGAGGCTTCGGCGGTCGATGTCTTTGGCCATGCGCTTGACGTCCCCTGGGGCCGGGTGGGGGTATGGAGACTTGACCTAATATGGTCCCCACGCGAGATGGCGTGCCCACAGCTGGAGCTCTAGGTCTGTTTCCAGGTCTCTCTGTGTTATCCTTTGGTGTTAACCCTACCTTATTCGAGGATGCTGGTAGCTTTTGCGTGGCGGAGAGCATCTCCTTCAGGCTTTCTGTGCGGAGTGCGGGCATTTTCCTGCACTCTGGACAGATGTACCAGAACCACTTGCATGGTTGTCTCTTCATCAGCTTATAGTATTGTCGGGGGACTTTGGTATCGCAGTGGCAATGCACCCATCGTTGACACAGGTTGCATGCAAATGCCTCATCGACTACCGAAACAACTTTGGTGCAAACACTGCAGCCATCGGGTGTCGTAATACAGCCTTCCTTCCATGAATAAGGTGCTACGGATTGTGGCGAACTGCTTGTGGCTGCCTTGTTCTGAAGCCTTTTACGTCGTCTTCTATGTTCAGGCATGGTATGATCCTTGCTCAAGATAGGACTAGTTTGTGACGGGTTAGTGCTTCTCTGTGTCACCTGTCTGATGGCTACTGGAATTCTAGAAACATGGGTTGGCCACTTCTTCAGAAGTTCGATGTTCTGCCCTACCTCTGTTTGTCTTCTAGTACAGACTAGTGTGTTGTTTAGGGTGTTACTGGCCGTTGTTGTGCACGACCGCGTTATCCGTGTCAAAGCTTCAGACCTAGCGTTTTGGGCAGACATGTCGCTATGATATAAACTTCTTGGGAAAACAAGTAGTTAACAACAATAAGAGGGTTGAAGACTGAATGCAGCAAAAGGACAGAATAGAAAAGGGAAGATAATTTATGTTGGCTCACCTTCAGACACTTGTCACTTGATCCTCTGCTCTTGACCAACGAGTTTAACCGTAAGCTCCAGATGCGTATGTATAACCAGGGAAGATATTTCCTGGGGAATGACCTCCGAGGAGAACCGAGAGCTAAGGCAGTTTGGCAGCTGAAACGCCCAAGAACCACTGACAGGAGGTAGACCGGTTGGTTCAAAGGAATAATAATGCCAATTTTCAACTGTTGAGGAGTGAGCTGACGAATGCGCAGGGGTGAGGTGCGTGGACGGACAGAAGTGCTGCAAACGTTCTATGTTTTTAGATTGAGTATTGAAAGTGGGAGTTTTTCATTGTGGAAAAATCCAAAAGCTGAGAGACGAGCGAAACACGTCACTACTCAAGGAGCGCGCCAAAAAAAAATGTGTCCACCTTTTAAGGCAATCTGTTACAGTGCTAATTGTGTGTTTATTTCAGGCGATGGGTTGCGGGTGGTTTAAGAATTGACCAAGTCTGACGAACAACCAGCAGAGATAACGGACTTCGATCTTGCAGCTAAATTTTGTCTAGCGCTTTGGGGTGACCTTACCCAAGTGACCTTACCTGAAGTGTCGAAAGATTCTGGGCAGCTATCGGGTATTTTAGTGTCTGCTTCTTGACTGGGCTGGTACGTTCTTCTCTGGTTAACGGTTTTTTCGGAAGCTAGTTTTATATTTTTAAGTTTCGTGGTGGAAACAATAGTATCACGGGAGCTGATGAATCTAGCAGCCATGTGCTGGCTGTCAAAGTGAATAAGGATCGGACAACAGAATTTCTGGTGCTTTTTAGAGAGTCTGAAGCAACTACATTGAACGTCGAGTACACCAGTGGCCCTGAAAAGCATATTTTTAAAAGCCTTGATGGTCGTCTTATCAGGAACATTGTATACAATGGCCCCTTCATCAGCTAAAATGTACCCAAAGACTTCGGAAGAAGTGTAATTAACAACACTTTCCACCTTGGAAGCATCACCTTGCCCGTCTTCGTTTCGCTCATCATATTTGAAGAGGCAACACCAGCGTTAGTAGTTAATGACTTCATTGCAGTAATCTTCTGCGCATCCTGTATAATCTCTGCAATATGTGCAGGCAGTGACTCAACTGACTGGATCTTGGAATGGAGTTCACTAACCTGTGATTGTAGTTCACGAACAAAAGCCATGAGTTGTGGAACGACTGCAAGGTCATCTTTGAAAACCTCTAATCTGGTCTCTGTATTCAGCAGCGCAGTCGGCATGGCAAATAGTTCTTTTATTTGTTCACCCATCTATTCTACCTATGTTCTGAGACACAAGATGTCTCCACTTGCCACATTTGGCAACATAATTTCATTTAGCTTGATTATTTATGTGGATAAAGATTTTAAGCTGTTTTTACTAACTGCCTTACTACGGCTATTATTCATTTCGTCGTACCGTGTGATCACAAAAAGGCTAGAGCTAGTTTTGCTCTCGATATCGTTAGAGCTGCTGAGAACACGTTTCCTGGATTTTTGATGCACAATATGTTGGTGTCTTTGATCAACTAGGTTATTACACAGACAGGTGGATATCTGTAACAATATCTAGGAATCGACAGTCAAGAAACCAAAAATTCGATAGCACAGAGGCAAATGCTTCTATGATACAGTTAAGTACTTTTGGTATTCAAAACCATAAAGTTAGACGATAATAAACAGTAAAGTAGTGGTTTAACGGACCACGTGTAAGTGCAACGCAAGTTACAAACTTGCCGGATATATATATATATATATATATATATATATATATGTCTGAAACACACAAAAGGGTCGAGAGGTACATGCGAGGATAACTCTCGTGACATTCTCGGCAGGCCATCAATTCGGAATGGTGATAAAACTCATGTTGGAACAAAGTGAATACTACCCGATGTAGACTGACTGGATTACTGACTGGCTATTTCGACTTGCTGTGTACACATGTACGGATTGAGTGAATACTGAGGTACTTGAAATGTAAAATTGATCTGAAAATCCCTCCCGATCACCCTATTTGATTGTATTGACATTTGTGTGAATATTTCCACCCTCGTTATGGATGGTGTACCTTCGACCCTAACCGGTGTAATGTTATTTGGTTGTTTGACTGTTGTTTGTTACCCAACGGCACTGTTGAGGCATTTTTGTAGTTTTGATATAACTTATTGTTGCTTTGATAGTACTACAGATTTTGTTACAAATCTACTATCGAATTACTACAAACCGTGTCTTGATATTTCGATCCAACCTTTGACTGCGTCACTCACGGAAGTTCGGAAGCTATACAGTAGGACGCAGGAACCAGTGAGATTCACGTCAGTTGGCACCGCCTAGTTATTTCCTGCGTTTAGGCCGAGATTATTGGATTCTGGCTGTTATAGTAGTCAACAGCCGTCACTACTGCACCTGGCAAGCGCAAGGTGTTCCTTGAGTCAATTCCGGACGGAGAAGGTGACATGTCCATGGATCCGACCTCAGATACCAGGCAAGTCCCTCTTGATGTCATTTCATGCCATGGCTCTGATAATGGTACAGTTATTGACCACAGTGAGACAGGCCCTAGTAGGACCTCTGCTCAATTAAAGGTACGACAGTTGGATGAAAGGCGAGAGTTGGAACTTCGTGAATTCAAGGCTAAACAAAGACAGGAAAGGTTGCGTCTGCATAAAGAACTAAACTTATCAGATGTGAATGGGCGTTTAGGTGACACCTTTCTTTGGATGATGATGTAAAGTGTCACAAATCAGTTTCTCTCGGCATTGACCCTCACAGCAGGCTTGATCCTGAAATGACTGGCCAGGTGAGCAGTGCATAAAACAAATGGGTTGCCACTACTTTGTCCCGTATCAATGTTGGCCATGAGTTGCCGAAGGTAGAATCAAGCAGATTTGATGGGCATCCAGCCAAATATTGGAAGTTTATGAAGCAGTTTCAGCTCTGCGTTGTCTCTAAAGTTGATGATGATGGACAGAGGCTGTTATACCAGTTAGATTGCTGTAAAGATAAGGCCATGGAGGCCGTAGAGGAATGCATTATGTTACCACCATCTGCTGGTTACCGCAGAGCTCGAGATATACTCAAACGTTTGTTTGGAAGGCCTCATGAATTCAGCCGGGCCTCACTACAGGGTCTGATGGGAGGCTCGAACACAGAACAAAACGAAGCTGAGGCAATGTCGAGGTTGGCTATAATGACGGAAAGCTGCCCTATAGCCCTAGAGCAAGTTGACTATACTGCAGACCTAAACTTCCTGTGAACTTTAGAAGGTATGGTAAAGAAATTGCTGCTTGTGTTACAGATGAAATTGGCGGAGGCTGTCGAAAAGTTAACTGAGAACGAACGAGAGCCTACCTTCACAGAGTTGACGCAGTTTGTGTCAGCGCGTGCGAGCATTTTGCTAAGTAGGTTTGGACAGCTGGCAACGAGCAGTCGACGACCAGATAGTAAAATAGCATGCTCCATACAGCAGCTAGTACCCGTTGGAGGGGCCATGAAACCTTCATGTATATTTTGTGGGGTAAACCACGTAGTCACAAAATGTACATTTCTGCCGCTACCGGTGGATGAGAGATGGTCGAAGGCTAAAGGAATAGGTTGTTGTTTTTCCTGTCTTAAAAAGGGCCACAGGTCCGTAGAATGTAAAATTCACAGGGTGTGCAGTGTAGAAGGTTGTAAAGCATACCATCACCCTCTGTTACACAGGAAGACCCACTACGCCGTAGGCGAACAACTGGAGGAAGGTAGTTGTGGATGCACTGAGTCTCTCAGAGAACGCGCGTGTCTGGGCATACTGCCAGCACGTGTAAAGCACGGTAATAAAGAGGTTTACGGTTATGCTCTCTTCGACAATGGCTGTGATACAACTTTGACCACGAAAGATGTTTTGCAAATTCTGGGACTGTCGACTGACGGCATAAAGACTACCATCAAAATCGCTAGCGGAAGTAGATTGTCGAATATAATACTTCGTACTCAGTACCAAAAATTATTGAAAGAATCCTTCAACTGGTCTTCCCCTGTTGATTTCCAACTTTCTGAAAAGTTCCACAGCAAACTCGCCCAGCCACCAACATCTAGATGCAACCATGTACGAAAACCAAACTGCAATAAGTGATCTAAGGCTTCTGGGCTGTCATATTGACAGCGAAAATCTGGACAAACAACTAAGTCTAAGAAACAAACTCACCTGGTGATTCAAGGTGAGACATGTTCGGAAACAAAATTCTTCAGTGCTTCAACCCATTTGACTTCGTTTTATCGAAAACAACAGCCAACATACCTCCTTGGTAATGCTGTGTGCTTTAAGGCGAATTCTATATGCGTAACCCGATCACCATTGGATAATAGTCCTTCAGATGTTTATTTTTTTGTGAAGCAACAGCTAATTCTGATGGGTTACGTCTGTGTTGCTGAGTAAGATCACACTGCGAGTGGGAAGTGTGAGGACTCATATACTGAAGTGGACTATATGGTTATGCTAACACTTACTGTCACATGAAATCGATGAAGTGAGTTTTCATTGGCCGACGATGCTACAAAAATGTTAACTGACGTTAAAATAAACGTTTATCCAATGAAAACTGAACTAAACCGCCAGGTTAACCATCTAGGCCACATGTAACGCAAACGTCGAATATCGTACGATTTTGTATCACTTTATTGTGGAAAAAGAGTTGTGAATGGAGACAACCGAAGCTTATGAACAGTCTGTATGTACTATGAAGTGGTATTTTTCTGTTCCTACATAACCTATAGTCACTTTTATTATCATGATAAGCGGTGATGTGAATACTTCTGTACCATTCAGGACAGCTCAACTACTGGAGATTTCCTTACCACTATTAATCTGATGATGCCTGTAAACTGGCTTCTCTCAAGTTAAACTCTTAATTTGAGGATAAAATGTTTAATTATTTATTCATTTATTATAGGTCCCCTAGTAGCAACTTGGAACGCAACCAAAAGCTACTTCGAGTAATATCCACTGTGTCAACTATAGAGTATGACCAGGTCCTAATAATAATAATAATAGTAATAATAATATATTTCATACGACATAGGTTACGTGAATTCAGACCAGGTGCGATCATTTTGGTGGTGAGAAACGACTATTATGTACAATGTTGAGCTATACATTAGGTACCGTTATTCATGGCATATGAGAGGTGTGTTGAAGCAGGCCCAATTCGAAACTAGGAACTATTCTGTTATTGCTTGAATCTTCCAATATTCTTCAAGGTGGGGCCGCATCACAGTCATAAACTTGGGGTGTGCGCCTTCGTCACAGGGCTTTGATGGCAAGGTGTACACTGGCGAATGCGATCTCTAGGACTCCATTTGAATGCGGGACTAGTTAGGTGAACCTAAAAGTGAATAACAAAAGCAAGCAGCAGGCGAAATTCGAAACGGAAGCACAAAAGTACACACGAGTAGATCAACCATGGTACATCTGGGTGAGTTCTTTGTTCTGACTACAAAACTTACTTGAAGAAGTATCCAGAACCAACTGTTTAGAGGCAAGCTTAGGTGGAAGAAGATGAAGGTGCGTACGACGGTGATGAAAATTAATCTGAAGCCGAAGATATCACTACAAAATAGAGAGATTAGAGGATTTTGGACTAGGTATTCACTTGTTTTATACCTATGTGCAAACGTCTGATGAAGTTATAAACATTTGAATAAATAAATGTTTTATTCTCGCGTTAAAAGAAGATTTTAATATGAGGGAAGACAGTTCACAGGCTTCATCACGGTGATACACCTCAAAATATCTACAAGACTTGAGCTATGAGTAGTACTGACGGAAGGTCATTAAACTCAATTAAAAACTGCCGAAGGTCCTGCTAGTTATGAAATGAACATGAAAACATTACTCTACAGAGTACATAGAGAGTTAAGGTTTAGATAATAATAAATACCGTCTTCATTTAACAGGTTAAACATGAGGGAGACCAGTCTACGAGCACCGTCAAATTCATAACTTTTGAAAGTTTACGAACTGGTATCTAGTATTAAACAATTTACACATCAAGTCATTAGTGTGCATGATCTGATTGAAATTTGCTGAAATTCATGAGACGGATATGGATTTCTATCTCCCATCTCACAGACAGGCTCCATTATCAATATCAGAAGCGCCCAATGTTCAAAGTGTGCGTTATAACCAACTGACGTTGTTAGTCCACTCTCATAGTTTGCTAATTAGTAATATAACAGTTTATTTCTTAAGGTAGTCTTCAGTTTTTAGCTTTTCTAACCACAAAGGACCCATTCATACAATCTGGAGTACCAATAAAGTATCCACAGTTATATGACCAACGTTTATGGCTATATCAGTGCATCTCCAGGTCACCATGTTACTTGTAGAGGTGATATAGATTAATTCCATTGGGGATACTTGTTGTATTGGATGAAAATAGATGTTGAAACAGTCAATAGTCCAAGTGTCAGTATTAAACATAGACTTCGGGTATCTTTTGTATTAGCGTAGGCGGCATCATTCGAGAGGTGTATTTGATGCATAGTAAGTTTCATATGGGAAGGTCTGTTGGTGCAGAGTACTAGAAAATGTGTAGTGTGGAGCCATTGCAGGCAAGTGAAATTCTGAGCCAATATGTTAATCGGTCTCTGGTTTAACCATCTGTTCAGGATGTCTCTGCTGCTAATACTGTTGGGAAATTTATGATTTTTTCTAAGATGGTAACCACCGTTTATCTGGTCACAGTGGGGGATGATCATTGTGTTGCCTGTTGAGTATTACCATATTGGGGCCACCGAAACAATATGGTGGTGCAGAGTACTTACATGTGAGTACTGATAACAAAGGGCAAATAACAAAACATGTTACATGCTATGAAAATGCACCGACAAACGGTTCTTTTATCAGTCCTCAGTAGAGAGATTATTTTAAGGTACGAATTTTAGGAAATAGGTGCTAAGTCGTGAGGTCAGTTAGGTTATGAAAAAATGTAGGTTATATCAGAGTAGCTGCTGAGTTCACTGTTGCAAATCGTATTGCACTCCACTTCCTGTTCACTCTTGGACATTTTTTTAAAGAAATTAGATTTCAACTTAACTAATGCGTTTAGTTTTCGGCATTGTGTACTTTTGTCCTTGCTATTAGTGTCCCTTGAGTCTACGTACCAGTAGCACCATCGTACATGGTATAATAGCTGGCGACTTCAACCCTCCAACTCTCAGCCTAGAGCAAGGCAACACGACTCCGAGCCGATAGTTCGATTGTAACCCACTGAATGCAGGACTGTACGAAAAAGTTAGTGACCACACCTGCTGGATGTCAAGTGGCAAAACATCTAAACTTGATTACCTACTGGCTGGTGATCGCCTGGTTGAAAAGTCCCAGGTCCAAACTCCTCCTGGAAGTAGCGATCACGCCATGGTAGTGTTTGACCTGGTAATCGGTGAACAGTTATCTTGGGAGGTACCTCGCCCTCACCTCTGTTACAACAGGGCGAACTTTGAAGGGAGGAACCAAAGCCTATCTAGAGCTCCATGATCAGTGGATTGATGCTCCTTATCAGCCGACCAACACAGGGAACTGGCAGGAGACATTACCGTGGTGGCCACCCTGCAACACTTCCCCTAAGTGGTAACAACAACCAAAAAGCAGACCTGATGGCCAAAACGGGGTACTGGGCGCCCCCAAAGCCAAGAGAAAGGGATGACACAAATGGAGACACTGTGGAGAACAGGACTACCATGACTCACACATAGCCCTACGAAATCAAAGCAACATCCTGGTGGGGGCAGACAGGAGGTCATTCCCGTTCAACCTCACCAAGAAGCTTGAAGTAAACCCCGCAACCCTGTACCGATTCATGGCGAAGAGAAAATCGACAAACCAGGGAGCATGCATAGTGAAAGGTTCAAACAAAGAAAACCTCTTGGGACTGGAGATCACCAGAGTGTTAAACACCACACTTAGCACAGCTTAATATTCCTTTAGGAAAGTACGCACACCTACTGCCCAAACATCCTGCAACTTTATCCGACGCTGCGGAGTTACACGAGTACAGGTAGCTCGTGCTGTCGTTCTCGATAAGCAACGAAAACGGGAAAATCTCCAGGACGCGACGACATTCACCCACCTGTGTTGAAGGAATGTGCAAGTACCCTAAGGCGCCCCCTCTGCAGTCTCTTCCAAAACTCGCTGGACGAACATAAACTCCCACGAGGGTGGAAACAGGCTTTCCCTTCTCCCATCTTCAAAGGAGGAGACAGGTAGAATCCGAACCGTTATATACCAATGGCACTTGTACTAGTAATGTCAAAAATTAT